ATTATGCCAGCCAAGGCAACCTTCACATAAACATCTCTGCGTCAAACCCCCAACCAAAAGCACTCAAAAACTTGCATTACTCATCTTCCCTGATTACAACCACCCAGACTCTATTCCCTAGCAAACGAATATCACCGAAGGGCAATAATTGCAACCAGCTAATCGTTCCACAATCCCCAAACACATAAAAGTTAAAATGAAACCGCAAAGTTCGTGTGAAGTTGGAAACCAATCAGAAGATGGGAAGGTTCGTGCGCAGTTAAAACCAACCAGAAGATGGGAAGTCAAATGACAGAAGCGTCGGAAGGCTATGACACGTAGACCAGCCCAGGCTGCCTTCACGCAATACCCCTTTCGTTGCGTCCAGAAGACACACTTCAGACCAAGGATATTCCGCATATCCTCGTTTCCTGAATTAGTAGTAAGACCACAGGACGTTATATTCTATAAAATTTATGCACATTACTTATCTTCATCAAATCCAATCATCTCAAAGGAAATACTCGACAACGTCAGAAACCAGTACCACCAAGACTCTTCTTTGGTTTTGGTTTGGGGGGGAGGGTGGCAGAGGGGAGGGGAGTTTGTTTTGGGGGGGTTGCCAGGGGGGGGGAAGGAGGGCACAACAATTAAAAGCTTTCAAACACATCTTTATCTAATTCAAAAACATTGGAAACCTGTCCGTCATGCCACTTCTGGATGTATACAGAGGGTGCGAAGAAAATTCTGAGCTGAGATACAAATCGAGGAACGGTCAACAGCTGCACTACAAATCCAGGGGCACTCAACCCATTCAGGACTGACCTGAACATGAATTTGACCATGATTGGCAAACATCATGCTAACTGCATCTCACACTGGAGAGAAGACGCACAAAAATAGCAAATGATGACTTACGCTCTGGCACAGGATTTACGATCTGCAACATTCCCTCGTTTTTAAGTGGCATAGCTCCTGGCATTCATCAATGCAGCAGAAATCGAGCTCACGACCTGTTTAATGAATAGTCAGATACGTAGTATGTTGTTGTATTACCATGACTTGCCGGTGGTAAAGGATCCGGACTGATGCAGGACCGTAAGGTCCTGTTTTGCAAAAACAAATTAAAAACGTCAATGCCGGTTGTATTACCATGACTTGCCGGTTGTATTACCAGAATGGATATGGAGCCAGGACCATAAGGTCCTGTTTTGCAAAAAAAAAAAAAAAACATCAATAGTCAATAGTCAGAGATACGTACCACACGGCCAATGGCAGGTACGAAACAGACAGACAGGACATTCATATCCCTCGGCATAAATGTCTCTGGCATTTGAACTCGAGCAATTGACAATTTACATTTGAACTCGAGCAATTGACAATTTACTACGACTATTTATTAACCATACTCGCCCCTTCCGATTGTCTCCATCACTCACTAGTGAAAACACGGGGCTTCTTAGCAAAAAAAACAAAAAAAAACAAAAAAAATATGGGGCTTACAGGTAACAAATGAAGTTCCGAAGATAAAGATACGAATGATCCCTACTTCATGCACACCTTCCCGCTCAAAAGGCCCGTATTACCCCATAAGCAGCGGTCCCACCTAGCTAACCCATCAGCGCTTACCGGGCGTCAGTCAGTCTGGAGAATCAACACAGTCACGCCTTACAAGACAAGCCAATCAGCCCTTACCTATCCCTGTTGGCTGCCACAAGGAGACTTCCCATCCCTAGATGACAAGGAAAATTCGAAAGCACCGAGCAGCAGGACGTCTAAGAACCATACATGTCAGCAAAGAAAGGACATCTAAAAATAGTACATGTGAGACCACAATTTTATTGCAATCAGCACCACAGAAATACATGTCTCGGCAGGCTCTCAACCACTACAATTCCTGTGCACACTATTTTCATGGTGTAAAACATGTATAATCTTCAACCAAATTCCGACTCCACTACAAGCCAGAAACGTCCTTCCCGTCTGCACAAGGGACCAACCCACATTGAAGTGAACCATCACAATAATGATCCGTTTCTCCTACACAAAACGGAATGATTAAGGGAAGACACGTTGGAGACGTGAATTAGCCATAATACCCCAACGTGTATTCACCATAATACCGCCAAGCGGAAACCTCATTCAGTCATTTGAAGAAAACAGCATTATCAACACACCGCACATTGGCCACGATACCGCAAAACGAACGCCTCGTCCACTCATTTCAAGAAAAGATAGAAACATGTGGCTTACCCACCATCAAAAGAATTCCAAACCCCAGACATATGCAATCAAAAATTCTAACAGAGAGACTTGCTTGCTGCATAAAAAGGCACCCCAGAAGAGTGGAACCGAATTCTTTACGAAGTTCCCTCTTATCACTATACCTCTTGAATAGAGTGACAAAGCGCACAACGGTCATCTCCTCCTTTTCCTGTATTAAACAACCCGATGCTTCTGTCATCTTGCTTCCCAACAATGAGAAACGGAATGGTTCCCCACTTCCCAATGGAGGGTGCTGTTTGTAATTTATAAGTATGGAGGGGGGAAAAAACTAAAAATTAAAGAACGTTCTGAATGATGTGTATAATTCCTGGCAAATACTACCAAACCCATGGCCCCGCACAATCCAGCTCATCGTCAGGGCAGGTCCATGGCAATAGAACACTAAGAAATCATTTGTCTCCTTTTCTTCGGAGAGGACAAACAGTCGACGGGGAAAGTCTCAAACAATCAAGCAGAAAGACAGAAACCTCAAGAGTTTCTTTCACAATCCCAGCAAAGCTGCAAAGCTGTTCAAACAGGAAAGACTGTTTGACAGGAAAACGCAGCTCAAAAATCAATACGAGCAGTTCAAAATCAACACCGTTTGACAGGAAAACGCAGCTCAAAATCAATACAACCAGCTCAAAATCAATAGCGTTTGACAGGAAAGACTGTTTGACAGGAAAACACAGCTGAAGACAAACAGTCGACGGGGAAAGTCTCAAACAATCAAGCAGAAAGACAGAAACCTCAAGAGTTTCTTTCACAATCCCAGCAAAGCTGCAAAGCTATTCAAACAGGAAAGACTTTTTGACAGGAAAACGCAGCTCAAAAATCAATACGCGCAGTTCAAAATCAATACCGTTTGACAGGAAAACGCAGCTCAAAATCAATACAAGCAGCTCAAAATCAATACCGTTTGACAGGAAAGACTGTTTGACAGGAAAACGCAGCTGAAGACCGTTTGACAGTCACGATGACCTGATCTATGCCAATGACCACCAACCTCAGTCCAACAGACATGAAAGCTGTATAATTCATTTGAGGTCTTAGTGAAATCTGTGTATATGTGCATGTGTGCGAGAGAGAGAGAGAGACCCCCGACGACACAAGACATTAAACATGCATAACACACATGAGGGCTGAGTCGACTCTGTGAGATTAGAACGTAAATCTTGTCAACACAAGCATTGCCACATTAAAGCCAGACGTTGTAAGCCTGCTTTATTCAGCCAACCATGTCTTCATCTTGTCAATGCAAGCGTTTCCACATCAAACCAAACATTGTTAGCGTGCTCATTCAGCCAACCATCGCAAGCGTCCGAGCAAAAGTAGGGCAGAGGACAGCCACAGACAAGGGTCACGGCTGCTTCAGTTATTCACATCGTACAATCGTCTCCTTATCAACAACAATAGCAAAACCGTTCGTCTGTTTCCATTCGTCTTCTGCAAGTCCGTCATCTGTCAGTCATGCCCCTCCTAAGGTCAGGCTGACGAATTACACGGGGAAGGGCGGGAGGGCCGGGGAGGGGGGGCGGGGGAGAGGGAGGGGGAGGGGGAGCGCCTAAATTAAGAGGGACAGGAGGGGGGACGCACGGAAATTATATATAGATGTCCAAGAGGGAAGCGAAACAGGAAAACGTGAAAAGATACGTGTACTCGTCACACGCAGTCTCCTTTCAGACTTAACCACGTATAGTACTGATGAGATACGTTCAGCAGATTCACCGATGTACGCATCGGAGACAGACAACCCTCCACGGCTTAGTACCAAACGCGACCTGGCGCCGGATAAGGATTACTGGTTTCAAGCCATGATCCATCCCTCCACGGCTTAGTACCAAACGCGACCTGGCGCCGGATAAGGATTACTGGTTTCAAGCCATGATCCATCCCTCCACGGCTTAGTACCAAACGCGACCTGGCGCCGGATAAGGATTAATGGTTTCAAGCCATGATCAATTCAGCACACAAAATACATGACAATACCGCCATCACACAGCAGTTCACGAGTTGCCACAGAAAAGAAACTTTCTCACAAAGCTCCTCACACGAAGTAAACACCCAAACAAATTGAACTGGAAAACACCAACAAGAACTCAAAGTACAATTCAGCACTCTAAACACTCACTCTACCATTCCTACATCTGGCCATGGTTAAAATTAGATGAAGTCCCGCAATACCTCTCACATATAAGAAAGAAAGCTAATTTCCGTTGAGCATATTTTCGCTAATCAGAAGAGAAAACAGGACGGGTCCAGTAAGGGGAGAAATAGATAAATGAAATACCAAGTCACATATATCAATTGACGTTGCAGAGAAGATCCTCGGTTTCGCCATAAAGTATCCTCAGACTGGGAAAAAAAAAAAAAATACACAAAAACTTTATAAACTTTATAAAGAAATAACGTTTCTTACAGTGGGAGAAACGATCAACCACATTTCGCATCTTCACAAACAGCCTGCGAAAGAGGAAAGGCTGGAACCTCCGGAACCGGGGGAAAACAAACAAAAGACCAGTCGGGCCACAAAAAAAGAATTCAGGATAAAATAAAAATATTAAAAAATGATAATAAAATCATATTAATTAAAAAACAAATCAGCATGAAAACCTGCGCAGGCCAGGCCCCACTCGACTACTTAACACTGGACAGGTACAAGGACTGACATTTCTCATGATCGAGCATTTTGAACGTACTGAGAAACCGTGAGTCCTAAAACATTTGGTATGTCATGCAGTGCAGCGAGGGACTACGGGCCTCGCCGCACATACTCAGCAATTGCACAACAGACTAAATACGGCAGTGTATCTTTCCCTGTTCCCTGTCCTTGCAGGAGATTCAGTCTCATTTTGCACGTTTGGTGATTGGTGCGGCAAGGCCTTGTAATCGATTGGGCATGAACATCCGTCAACGTCTCACGGAACAACAAAACAAAGGCGTCAACGTCTTACGGAACAAGAGAACAAAAAAGGAGGGAGAGAGAGGTAGACAGTTGTACATAACTTTCCTGATGCGCTGAAGGACCATCACGCTCCTCCGCTCGCATCCCCTCCTGCCCGTAGCCCCGCGTTGTTCCTACAAGCATGAAACAATAAACAACACCACGAGAGGTCATTGACCATCCAAAGAACTTCATTCAATGATAAGTTGCGTTCACACTGCCAATGCCCGACCTGACGAGAGAGACTGTAGACGCACCGCCAATGATAATCGCGTTCAGACTGCCAATGCCCACGTTTAAAATTTAGTGCTAAATAACCGATATGCTTACATATATGCATCCAACGCGGTCGTGATACCACGCCAGCACTGACGAGGGAGAGAACAAATGTTATAGTCAACACGACGACATAATTGCGGTCAGGTGCATGTACGTAAAGAGCGGTCAGCTACATTTAAGATTGTGCGAGAGATCATTGACCATCCAAAGAGAGTGTAGACGCACCGCCAATGATAATTGCGTTCACACTGCCAATGCCCACTTTTAAAATTTTAGTGCTAAATAACCGATATGCTTATTTATTTGCATCCAACGCGGTCGTGATACCACGCCAGCACTGATGAGGGAGAGAGTAAATTGAGTTCGGACTGCCAATGCCCGCGCTGACATAATTGTCTTTTTTTCCCGCGGCTGTGGCCGTTGAAAATGTATTTTTCACATGTTTTTGCGGTTGCCGTTGTTATATCCTTTTTGCGGTTGCCGTTGCCCGCGCTGGCGTAATTGCTAAATAACATTGCGGCGGCAATTATTGGCATCTGATATGTTTTTGCGGTTGCCGTTCGGACTGCCAATGTTATATCCTTCTGCCCGCGCTGGCGTAATTGCTAAATAATTAAGATTGTGCGACTGCCAATGCCCGCGCTGACATAATTGTTTTTCGGTTGCCTGTGCCCGCGCTGACGAGGGAGAGAGTAAACGTTATATGCGTGTTAACGTACAGGGATTTTTCACATGTTTGCGTCCGCACATGTTTGCCAACCCGCTGCCTGCAACTGCTCCACAGCGTCCATACAATCAAACCAGAGACACAGGACACGACAGCCTCACACAAACACGTTGCAGATGCCGTCTTTCCCCTAAAGAAGAATCGCGCTGTCATCGTCTTGTATTCACATCAACTTCCAGGCCACTGGACGATTTCTGGAGCAAGTGCATTAGGACGAGTCCAACGTTTTGAATGCATCAGGTCCAGAAAGCGCCCAAATGCACGTCGAGTGCTGTGTAGTGGATCGAGGCCCACAAGCTACCAATTCAACGTCATTCCTTGTGACTTCTCGAGCCAAATCTGCTGAGACGACTTACTGATAGATTTGGAGCGATTGGACGTCACTACTCTCCACATGCACAACAGACGAAACATATGGCGGTGTGCCTTTCCATGTTCTATTGGAAGAATTATTCTCAGTCTGCAGATTTTAAGAGTAATGGAGCAAGGGACATTGACAACTCAGAGACCACTCCAACTACAGCAAATCGGCGACAGATGAGCTCCAGGGCCTGGAATTCGACGATCAATAAATCAATCAAGACCGGAAGAGATCTACATAAAGATAAATCGATAGATATATAGATAGATAGATGTCATTCCCTCAAGAAAACAACGACATCATAACCGATGCGCACCCACTACCATAAACGAGGAATTTACGGCTTTCAGATACCCACGAGTGCAACATCTTTCTCATCACTGCAAAGAGCAACACATTCAGTGCAGGCCACTATGCGGGGCCCCCGCGCAAATAAGCCGCGAACTGCGCCACTACGCGGGGGCGCTGCACGAAAGAAGCCGCGGACTGCGCGGGGCGCTGCGCGACCAAGCCGAGCGCAGTGTATCCGCACCACAGCACAACTACCATCTTCCCCCGAAGACAACAGAAAGTCTTTCGACACGTATTTGAGTCAACATTCAGTCTAGATACAGCGACAATGACCGTACGTCCTACTCGGGGCAAGACGAAGATCCTTCCGCGGGATTCTGCCCGTCATCGCCTACCTATGCTCACCCCTCTACGCAATGCTTATGACCCACTTCACTCCACGCCACCCTATCACCGCCACGAACATGACGAATCAATATCCCATAAGCCAAACCAGAAATATATCTCTACATTCATCAAGAGCCAAGCACTCTGTGCCTTACTTCAGACCCTCCCCGTCAAATGAACACCAGGCAAATGTACCTTTACATACACAGGCAAAAAAATGAACCTTACATCAATGGCTATGGCCTCTACTCTAGGAACTTTAGGCACAAAAAAAAGGCGAATGCACCTTACCTCAATGCAGAAGCACCTGCTTCAAGCCCTCCCGGTTACGGCCGCTACTCCAGCAACGTCAAACCATGTAAATGTACCGACTTCAGACCCTCCCCCTTAAGCCAAATGTACCTCTGGACACGAAGGCCATTGCACCTCATATTCATGACCCTCCCGGCTGTCGTCAAACCCCATCTAAATGTACCTACTTCACACCCTCCCCCTTAAGCCAAATGTACCTTTGGACACGAAGACCTGATTCATGACCCTCCCGGCTGTCGTCAAACCCCTTGTAAATGTACCTACTTCACACCCTACCCGTTAAGCCAAATGTACCTTTGGACACGAAGGCAATTGCACCTCACATCAATGCAAACGTTTCAAGACCCTCCCGGTTATCGTCAAACCATGTAAACGCACCTGCTTCAGACCCTTCCCCCAAAACCAAATGTACCTCACATAGATGCAAAAATACATGTTTCAAGACCCTCCCGGCTGTGAACGATCCTCTAACAACAATCATCGACGCGAAGGTCAAATCCACGATCAGCAATTAGTGAAAGCGATAGTGAAAGCGATAGTGAAAGATCAGCAAGTGTCACATCCACCGCAGACATTTTACGCTATTAGCGATGATGACGACAAAAGACACGTCGGACAAAATTACATGTTCCGCTGACAAATACACGTCGGGCAAACTTACCAAGCTGGGAAAGACTATCGTCATCCCCCGAACACAACGCACCCTCATCATGACTGTAACAAAGCGGAGAGATCGCTTATATAGATCCGTGATGAGGGTGCATTGTGTTCGGGGGAAGACGGTCGCGAGATCGAATGAATTGGAACGAATTTCACTGAAAGGCGGCCAAACGCCACTCATCCATGCATCAACAAATAAGAAGCCGTGTCAAACATCACAGTCATAGCTACTGATTCAAACAACACCACACACACACAAAAAAAAAAAAAAAAAAA